AACTTCTCTGAGCCTTGGTACATATTAAACAATGTAAATCAAGTACCTAGTACAAGGACTGTTAAAAAGCAATGCTCACTCACCATTATCCCCAACACCCCCACCCACCATCTCCTGTCACAATCTCATTTAGTCTCTTTTACTGAGTCCTTTTCTCAGTAGTGAGCTGACAAATATATCACTGGCTCTCAGAAAGGGGAAAAAAAGCTCAAATTTACAGCTTTGGTTTATAGTACGAGTTGACTTCTGCCATGTAAATATTCCCACTTGACTGATCTCAGGTTACAAGCATGAAGTCAACTGAAGACAGAATTGGAAAGAGATGCACAATAGCACATGGCTACTCTCTGTCCCATTACCCTTTTATTCTCCCCACAATACTTTTACATTTTGAAATTATCTTGTTTAAATGTTTAGGTATTGTCTATCTCCCCTGATAGGAATTTAAGCACCATAAAGGCAGGGACCTTGTCTATCCTATTCTCTAACATGACCTCACATTAAAAAAAAAAAAATACAAAAAGTAATTGGAAAGAGTCCTGAAATTAACAAAACTGAAAAGTATTTAAAAAAAAAAAAAAAAAAAAAAAAGACTAATTCAACCAAAGCACACACACCCTCAATTCCACTAACATTGTTCCTTCTGTTTGGAAAAGGAAGAAGGAATAAACATGACTAGTAACAACCAAATGCTTAATTAAAAGGGCTCAGACGGTAAAAATGGGCCAGGCACAGCAAGTTACATATCAAGGACAATATTTATAGATATCCAGCTGAAACACCATACTTATATAACCCAAGGCAGTCAATCTTACCATTCTTAATAATGCACAGGCAGTTCTTTTATGGTCAAAGAAAAAGAAAACAAACACTACCGTTAATAAATCATATATTACCATTTTTTTGTTTTATTAATCCAGCTTGTAGGCCCAGCCTCCCATACCTTGAATTTACTTTACCTGCATGAATTAACATCCGTAAACATTCTACAGAGTTGTGATAAGCTGCTTCGTGAATTGGCATCCATCCCCTGTTATCAGCAACATCAACGCTACGTCCCTTTTTGAGCAGTTTTCTTAAGACTTTAACATTGCCTTCCCTGGCAGCAAGTCCAACGGTGGAGCATGTGTCAGAGTAAGCCTCTGTGAAATCCATTCTTTTGACCACGCTACAAAACAAGGCAGAAAGAAAACACTATAGACAATAAAACAACACTGCACTCCTAGAGATTAGCATATCGAAGCAGGCCTGTCCTGCATCTGTCACAAGACTGCTGCGGAAAATCCTGAGGTAGAGAAAGCAACCTGTCAAGACACAGCCTCTTCTAGAGCCTAAACCAGTGCCTAAACCATGAAGTGTCTCTGGGGAATTGGGATTCCTTGGAATGCTCTTATTAAAGATATCAAGAGAGTTTCACGTGTTCTATCATTCCACTTCTGGAAATGTCTGAGCAGCTCCTTCCTGCAAGCTTCTGCTCCTGTTCATATCCGCCAAGGTGCCTTCACTGGAACTCTGTAGATGAAGGGGCTAAAACACCTGCAGTTAATCCCAAATGTGTACTCTATTACATAGAGATGGCCGTTTAACTAACAGCAATGCTCAGCCTCAAGAATTAATTTGCAGTCCTCTCCAGGAAAAAGCTAGACCCAAAAAAGCTAGAAAAGGAATGAACAAAAGGGAAAAACAAAGATAAGTAAAAATTGTAGTTTTTCCTCTGGTATTCTTTCCAAAAGAGGCTAACATTCATGTTCTCTTTCCTTGATGAAACAGTCCCACTCATGGAATATATCAAATATACTGAAATGAACAAGAGCATCATAAAAAGATGAGTCTAGCTTTCCTATACCAGCCTAGAAAGTTCTTGACCGCATTAGTGCCTCTTCCTCATCATCTTCCTCTAAAGTTCATTCTATGTTCCCCAGTATAGCTCTCAGTATATGATTCTCACAAAGACAGTTTCTTGTTAATTACACTAGGATGCTAAGGTTCAGGATTCTCAGGGTAAGAGTTACCTCCCAAGGGGCAATCCCTCACAGTAGCACTCCTAGCCCAGCCTTCCTGATTTTTTCTAATGATTTTAGGAGGTGGTTCAGGAAATGCCAACATGACTAGTCTAATACAGGTGAAAACTTTCTAGAACCACATTCTAAATACTTTTTCCAGAAAATGAAGGTTTCAAAGAAGCTAAGGGGTGCCTGGGTGGCTCAGTCGGTTGGATGTCTGCTTTTGGCTCACATCATGATCCCAGGAATCATGGGTCCTGGGATCAAGCCCCAAGTCAGGCTCCCTGCTCTGTGGGGAGCCTGCTTCTCCCTGTCCCTCTGCTACCCCCTCCCCCGGCTTGTGTTTGCTCGCTCTTTCTCTGTCAAATAAATAAGTAAAATCTTTAAAAGGAGAGGTTAAAAGAAAGTGCATAGAATTTCCTATAGGAAATTTAAATTTATCCATGGCCACATTTAAATAGAAAGCTGTAACTGCAGAAGTAGATTCTCTAGTGCGCCAAACAGCTAACAGTACACTATGGATAAGTCCGATTGGATCAACTGGTCTCTTACTAGGAAAGTGAATATTTTTATTACATATTTAATTATGCAGTTGACGGTTATTTACTGTGCACCAACTAGCCACAAGTAATGTGGTGGATATAAAGATGACACAGACTCAGAGAAATTATAAACACATGTTATTCAAAACAAAAAGAAGAAAGTACTCCAAGAGAAGTTCAGGGATAGTCAAAGAAGGGAGAAACTACTTAAATTTGTGAGGAATGTGAGCTGGTACGGGGAGGATCTGACAATGAGAAAAAGGGGAGAAGGGCATTCCATGGCAGAAGGAGAAACACAACAAACATTATGTAAATGAACAAGCAAGGATGAATTAGGGCCAGTGAATAAGGGAAACAATTAGCTCACTTTTGAAGGAGGATTAGCTAAACAAAGAACAGGAGAAAAAGGAGCTTACAGAGGTAGCTGAATGCCAAACTGTGGAGAACCTTGAATGGTAGGCTACACTTTGTTGAAAGATGCTAATTCCCAGCTAAAGCCATTATATCCAAGTTTCGCAAAAAAGAAAAGACCACACATATACGGCAAATTTATGGCATATTCATCTAATACAAGAACTGTTTCTATGTAGGAAAAACACAAACACACACATAAGAATACCCCTCCAAAGACATTAAAAAAGAGCATTCGAGGAAAAACAAGTATGAATCCCTTTCCAAATTTACTGGCTTTTCTCACAGTTACAAATAATGTTAACGGATCTAGATTAACAGGCAATAACCTGAAGAAAAAAAAAATCAGAACTGGGTAATATCTTTGAACCTCTTAAGGGAAGGAGAAGCCAAAAGAAATGCACTATCACAGCATAATCACTCCCCTCAACCCTTAATACCAACTAGTTAATACGCATAAACGGTATACAAGATGTCTTTTTAATAAAAGCCTTCACATGCTCTTTACTAAATGAGTACAAGGTCAAACAACCAAATGTGATGTATAAACCTTAAATGGATCCTGGATGGTGAAAAAAGTATCAGAGTATCAGCTACAAAAAGCAATTGTGAGACAATTAAGGAAATTTGAATATGTAATATATATTTGGTGATGCAGTTTTGTTAATTTTCTTAGATGTGATAATGGCATTGTGGTTATTAGGAGAAAGTCCTTATTCTTTAAGTATTTAGCAGTGAAAAGTAACACATGCAACTTACTTCAAATGTTTTAGATTAAAAAGTATATATAGAGAAAAAAATAAACTGGCAAAATGTCAGTTATTGGATCCAAGTGGAGAGTATATGAGTAATGACTATACTTTTTTAAAATTCTTTCCGTATATTTGAAATTTTTCGAAAAAGTTCAGAGTTGGTAGAAACCAACCATTCCAGGCAATGTGAAACTTAAACATGGGTAATAAATGAAAGGACCTGGTGATTCTTAAGCTAAGTTTGTTTTGTTTTGTTTTTTGTAGCAGTTTCCTGCTGATTTCTTAAGAGTTCAAATAATACTCTTAGAATCTGGGTGTTCTAAAATTCTTTCATGTAGCTAAAGACTATGAAATAGAAATAAATCATCAAGAGAGAACAAGAATTTGCTAAAGCTTCTCTTTTTACACTCAGAAACACAGCCGTGTTGGTCCAAGTGATTTCCCTAAAAAAATATTTTGGAGCAGTAGTTCTAACCAGCAGATCTTAACATTTTTTAGAACCTTGACCTGCTGGAGAAACTCATGAAAGCTATAAAGCTACTCCCCCAGAAGAATGCACACAGACCTCAAATTCTGTATTCAATTTTAAGTTCCACATATCCATTCTAAAGCCTGTGCATGAGGCAAGAACCTTTGCTTACCCTTTTCTGAGTGAGCAGCTGAGAATACTGAAGATGAATAAGGTCGTTTTGCGCGTAAAATTTAAATGAGTTGAAACAATAGCTCTTTCATAGTCGTAAAAGTTCTGTGGTAAACTTTCTGCTTTATGTGAAAGGAAGACAGGCAGAAGTTTTTTGGTTTCGTTTTGTTACCGTTTTTTAAGTATAAAGCCAAATACGCCATTCACAGCTTGCGATCCTCTGGCTGCTGTTGGCAGAAACCCAGTTTTCAAAGAACAAAATGTCTTCCTACGTGCCAAACGCAGTGCCCGTATATCTCTTCCCGGTATCTAGACTGTATCCGCAGCGACTACAGGCGAGGCGCTTCTCCTTGTACCCGCTCAAAAGCGGAGAGTTCCAACCTCAAGTCACCAATCCCAGGAAAGGATTGTGGGTATTGTAGTCCTCTGCATAGACGCACCAGAAGGTTAGGGTGAGTTGCAGAGACTACGAAAGAATCCTTTGCTTAGCATACGGAAGGTCAATCCTACTTGATACCCTAAGCAACGAAGTAAAATAACGCTGACCAAGTCGGAAGACGATCCTCGAACTACGTGTCCCAGTGTGCTTTGCGCCCCCCCTCCCACCAGCAGACAGTGCAGCTACTGCGCCTGCGGCCGCCCAGCCGGTTACTTGCGTCGGGGAAGCAGCAGTCCCGGCTGGTGCCGGCACCGTAGAGACCACAGCTGAGGGTCGACCGCTACCGCAGCGGAGGAGCAAGGAAAGGATGTGGGTTTTTGGTTATGGGTCCCTGATCTGGAAGGTGGACTTCCCTTATCAGGACAAGATGGTCGGATACATCACGGGCTACAACAGGCGCTTCTGGCAGGGAAGCACCGACCATCGCGGGGTCCCCGGCAAGGTGAGGCGCCAACCAGTACCCCCACCCTTACTGCCCTCGGAGCGCCGCTCCCCAACTCCTGGCCCAGCTTTGCTGGAGCTACACCCCAACGCTTCTGAGGGCTGAGCATGTGGGTTAGGAATAAAGCTGTTATATCTGTCCCGTCTTCCTTGACCACTTGCCCCCTACCTCTCTCCCAAACCAAGGGCATTCCTTCCGAAGTCACTTGAGATGCGGGTGGATAGTTTCTTGAGGAAGCAGGAAACGTGGGCACAAGCACACAAGCTCGCACAAGGCTGACGTGCTGGGAGGGGACCCCATCTCTTGGCAACTTCTGCGAAAAAAAAACCAACAACAGGCGGGAAGATCAATCTTCGTGGCACCACGGAGTTGAAATACCAAAATCAACTCGCACATTCAACTTTTTAAAGTTAAATTTGTTGGCATTTCTGCATTCTGGCAGACTTTCATTGGTTTCAGTTTAAACGAGCATGTTATTTCTGAGGTTTCTTTGTATCTTTCCAAAGGTTTTATTTTATGACACCTAAGGTAACAGAACTAGTTTCCAAAATTATCTCCGGTTATTAAGGAGCTAACCTTGATCACTTAGTTTGGTTGTTAGGTACCAACAAAGTTAAATGAGTTCCTGGTTTGTAATTTGAGTAACACAGTACCCATTACTATATCCAAAATTATTTTAATGTTTCTCCATGTTTCTCTTTTGAATTATGAATGTGAAATATAAGTTCTTTGATCCATTTTTTGGTCATACAAAGACATTCATCCCAAAATATGTCTACGAAGGAGTAGCAGTGAGCTGCTTATGCAAATCAGACTTGTATTGGCTGCAAAACAACCAATCCACAAGGAAAACTAAGTTTTGGGTAACAATTTGGATACCATAAATACGTGTTTTAGTTAATCTCCTAACTTTTGGGAGGGTACAAAATTGTTTACTGTTTATATGTTCTCTAAAGTACTCTGAGAGTTATATGAGCTTGATTACTGTTTTTTAAAAAGAAATTAATATTGGCCCCAAAACACAATCTGGCTTTAAGGTAGGCAGATAACTTGAAAACAGTGGACTAACTTAAGGCAAATGCATATTGGTAGGACAACAGAACCTTAATGGCAAAAATTTCTTCAAGAATGTTGTAAAACAGGTACAGCATGCAGGTCTAGATTTCGTAGTTGTAAACTTGAGCCCCACATTGGGTGTAGAGATTACTTAAAAATAAAATCGTTTTTAAAAAAGAGAATGTTATAGAACAATATTTAAGACTTTAAAGAGTTAAGTAAAGTGAAACTTGTTAATAAAATAAAACTTATAAGTAAAGTAAAATGCCTTTTGAGTTGTCAGATATGAACACTTAAAACTTCTATTCTGAAGAGAAAAGCCTTAACCCAGCCTCCAAACTTTAATGACCAAGAGTTAAATGTTTACAAATATGCTTTTTATGTTTCGTTTTGTTTTTAGACAGAGAAAGAGCCATCTGCGCACAAATGTGGGGGGGTGGGTAAAGGGAGAGAGAGAACCTTGTGCATGCAGGCTATATGTCCAGAGGCTACATGTCCAGCACAGAGCCCGATGAGGGGCTTGATCTCACCACCCTGAGATGAGGACCTGAGCCGAAATCAAGAATCCTATGCTTAATGACTGAGCCACCCTAGAGCCCCAGAAATATGGTCTTAATAGCATATTTTACTACTCTAGGTTTTTGGGGGGTTTTTTTTTGGTTTTGGGGGGGGTTATTTATTTATTTATTTATTTAAGAGATAGAGTGAGTGAGAACATGAACAGGGGTCAGAGGGAAAAGGAGAAGCAGACTCGATGTGGGGCTTGATTCCAAGACCCTGGGATCAGGACCTGAGCAGAAGGCAGATGCTGAGCCACCCAGGTGCCCTACTACTCTAGTTTCAATCAAATATGCATGTTATATAGCACATGGAGATATGTACATTGTCGGAATAGAACAATAAGAAGTTGTCAAGTCAATGCAACAGCTCATGATTCTTTAAAAGAATAAAGGAGGTATAAAAGCCAGTATTTTTTTTTAACTTATATTTACTAAAATATAGGGCAGGTAAGTTAGGGGACAGGGAGACTGCAATGGCTAATAGTTATACATCTACTTTTTTTTTTTTTAGATTTTATTTGACAGACAAAGATCACAAATAGGCAGAGGCAGGCAGAGAGAGAGAGGAGGAAGCAGGCTCCCCGCTGAGCAGAGAGCCCGATATGGGGCTCGATCCCAGGACCCTGGGATCATGACCTGAGCCGAAGGCAGAGGCTTTAACCCGCTGAGCCACCCAGGCACCCCTGTACATCTACTTTTATTTAAAGGATCCAACATAGCAGATTAAAGGAAAGTCTAAGTTACAGACGTTTTCTAAGTATACTGTTCTGTTAAAAAAAATAAAGCTGGAAAGAACATTATTATTTTAGTTAATATTTTTTATTATAGTGGATCACCAGCTTCATATAAATCTTAACTGTTAAACAAGAATACAAAATATCCAGCAAATTAGAAGAATGACATGGATGTTTTATAGGACTATGTTTCTGATAGCAACATATGCTCCTAGTAAGTTAGTCATCAGTACACATGAAATGTGATATTACTAAACAAATGTTAGGCTCATTTCCACACACTGCAATGTGACATTTGTGGGAAAAATACCAAACCTATTTGGTTTATTCAATCATATTTTCTTTTTAGCATATTAAACTTTAATTTCTTCCTAAGTTTTATTAAGCACCTCATTTATATATAACAAAACTCGTAGCATCTCACCAAATTAAGGATTAATTTAAATGTGAACATTTTTTCACAGCAGAGAGAATATATTTTAATTTCAAAAAGAGGAAACATTTTAACACAAGAGATAATCACGAACATTTACAAAATCTCTGTTCTAGGTCTAGATCAGAAAAATAACTCATTACTCAAAGCACCCATAATGCCCCATATTTCATGATAACTTCTAATCCTATTCAGCTTCAAAAACCCTTTCTTTAGTTTCAATCCCCCCAAAAAGCGTTCATGTGATTTACAAATGGACACTGTTTTTCAATAACATATTTATTTTAGGGACAAAAAGTTTAAGTTTTAGAAAATATTTCCAAGGGGTGCCTGGGTGAGAGCAGTCGGTTGAGCAGTCGGTTGAGTATCCAACTCTTGATTTCAGCTCAGGTCATTCCTCAGGGTGGTGAGATCAGCGAAGCCAGCTCCCTGCTCAGTGGGGAGTCCACTTGAGATGCTCTCCCTCTTCCTCTGCCCCTCCCGCCACTCGCATGCTCTCTCTAAAATAAATCAATCTTTTTTTTTTTTGAATATTTTATTTATTTATTTGACAGAGAGAGAGAGATCACAAGTAGGCAGAGAGGCAGGCAGGGAGAGGGGGAAGCAGGCTCCCCGCTGAGCAGAGCGCTGGATAATGACCAGAGCCTGAGATAATGACCTGAGCCGAAGGCAGAGGCTTAACCCACTGAGTCACCTATGTGCCCCAATAAATCAATCTTTTAAAAAGAAAATATTAAAAAATATATGTATATTTCCAAGTAAATTTATCAGTAGTGCCAAAAGTCCATGTCTGTATCATCTATAAGCAATCACAGGGAGTCCATTTATTTCCCCTTAAAATGATTCCTTGTTTTCTGTTTCAAATATGCCACCACCTAAAGTCCAGGACTTTTCTACTACTCTTCCCTCTTTCAACAGTTACTACTGAGTGCTTACATATACAAGTAGGAGACACCTATGCAAACAACAATACCTGACAAATGCCACAGGAAAGTGATGTATAAAAGGAGAAATGAGAATTTAGGAGAAGGAGCTGCTACAGAGTTTCCTGGGGAGTCAGCCAAGCCTTTATGGATGGAATGGCAGGAGGATATTCCAGAGATATAAAAGGAAGAGCATTCCACACTGAGTACTGATATATACAAAGATATGAATGTTTGTAAAAGTTACAAATAAATCTGCTTGAGAGGGAAAGTGGTAAGAAATGAGATGTGTAGTTAAGTTATGCTTTGAATTTTTCAGTTTTTCCTGTAGAATATTATAACCCTGAAAAATTCAAAGCACAGGAGTGAGTGGCCCAATTTTTTTTTTTATTTTAAGATTTTTTTTTTTTTTTAATTTGACAGATCACAAGTTGGCAGAGAGGCAGGCAGAGAGAGACAGGAGGAGGAGGCAGGCTCCCTGCTGAGCAGAGAGCCCGATGCGGGACTCGATCCCAGGACCCTGAGATCATGACCTGAGCCGAAGGCAGAGGCTTTAACCACTGAGCCACCCAGGCGCCCCGAGTGGCCCAGTTTTTGCACTAGAAAGTTATTCCAGGGTCAAGAAGAAAACAAACTAGAGGTAAACAAAATATAGGCAGGCAGTGAGGTCCCTAAGGAAGCCACAGAGGAACCAGATACAGAAGAATCAAAAGATAGAGCTACTAAGAATTGATGACTGGGCTGGATATAAGGGGAGACAAGGAAAATGGGAGTATTGAACTTGTCACCTGGACCTCTAACATTTCTTACTCAAGAGTCTACTTCCATCCCACTCTAACTTGCATACTATACACTTTACCACTCAGATCTTTCCCAAACATTTCTTTTATCATACCAAGTCATCCACTCCTCAAGTGCTACAGTAGCTCCTAAATTCCTATTTCTCCCAGGTGTCACTGGCTTCTTATTTTCCATTGTCCCCTAACTTCACCTCCATTCCTTGGCTTTTCAAATCTGACTATCCTGTTTCTCCAGTTATCTTTTGGGATCATCTTCTCTATATGTTGGGGTCATCTGCTAAAGTCAGACACTTAACCTGTGTAGTCAGTCTTGCCTTTAGGTCCACACTTGAGGACCACACTTACAAATTATGCCCTTTCGCCAGAATTTTGTCTTCCTTTCTGACCACCCAAGACTCAGAATTCTTACTGCATTCATACTATACATCTTAGCCCTTAAGTGTTCTCTATTTCACATGTTAAGTTCATGTTCCAGAATTACAATATAAGCTCTTGAAAGCAAGAATCAAGGTTTTGTTTTCTCTACAACATAGCTAGGGATTCAGCAAATAGCTGCTAATTCACTTTGAAGTCGAAAGTAATATGGTAATACCTACATCAATATATGTATCCTCATTGTAGCGTTTTCTTAAATAGAAAACAAGTCAAATCTAAATGCCCAATAACACAAAAATATTTAAATTATAGCTCACTGATAATACAGTATTATACAATTATTAAAATGTAAGAGAAGACTAAAATGAAAATATAACTAAATAAGAAATATAATCCAAAATCCTATGTTTTCCATGATTACAAATTATCTATACAAATAGACAAAGACTAGAGGAAACAGTAATGAAGATGACACAAATATCTGAATGATTTATAGAGAGTGTGTACCAGAACAGTGGGCAAACAAATGTTAAAACAAAAATGTTAAAATGCTTACAATTTAGCATTCTCAACTAATGATGCTAACATGTCAATAGATACATAGCCTTTGGCACTAGGTAGGAAGTGTATTTCCAAAAAAAAAAAGCAAATTCTCAGAGAGCTCCAGACCTACAGGATTAGCAATTCTGGGACTGTGGACTAAGCAATATGTTAATCAACCCTCCAGGTAATTTTGATCTACACTGAAGTTTGAGAACTACTTCCCTATTAGAGGAAAGCACTCTGGAAGAGCATGTTCCCTAATAAAACTATAGGATTCTGGGTGCCTGGGTGGCTCAGTTGTTAAGCATCTGTCTTTAGCTGAGTTCATGATCCCAGGGCCCTGGGATGGAGCCCCGCATAGGGCTTCCTGCTGAGCCAGAGGCCTGCTTCTCCCTCTCCCAGTCCCCCTGCTTGTGTTCCCTCTCTCTCTGTGTCTCTCACTGTCAAATAAATAAAATCTTTAAAAAAAACAAAACTATAAGAATCTGACCAGAAGGGGCACCTGGGTGGCTCAGTGGGTTAAAGCCTCTGCCTTCGGCTCAGGTCATGATCCCAGGGTCCTGGGATCGAGCCCCACATTGGGCTCTCTGCTCTGCAGGGAGCCTGCTTTCTCCTCTCTCTCTGCCTGCCTTTCTGCCTACTTGTGATCTCTGTCTGTCAAATAAATAAATCAAATCTTAAAAAAAAAAAAAAAAGAATCTGACCAGAATTTTTATTTATAATTGCTTCTTCCCTTACCTTTATTTTAGATGAGACTTAGTCACAGGTATGTATTTTAATATATCAATTTTATTTATTTATATTTTAAAGATTTTATTTATTTATTTGACAGACAGAGATCACAAGTAGACAGGTGGCGGGGGGGGGGGGGGGGGGGGGGAGAAGGGGGGCGGGGGGGGGGGGGGGGGGGGGGGGGGGGGCGGGTAGAAGCAGGCTCCCTGCTGAGTGGAGAGCCCGATGTGGGTCTTGATCCCTGGGACCATGACCTAAGTCAGAGGCAGAGGCTTAACCCACTGAGCCACCCAGGCGCCCCTAATATATCAATTTTAAATGAACATAATATACACAAATTGAAGGGAATCTTTTAGAAAACATAAGGTATATTATTTTCTTAGTTAAGCCACTTGAACATTTATCATAAAAAATAAGTGCTAAGAAAGTGTTTAGTATGAACAAATGAAATTAAAATATTCCATGTCAACAATAAATTGCTAATGCTTGGTTAGTTGAAAAACTGATTCAGAAAAAAAAAAAAAATTTTTTTTTTTTTTTTTTACTTTTTTTAAAACAGCCTGGAAGAGTTGTGACTCTTGTTGAAGATCCTGGGGTATGGTATAACTATTCTTTTTTGTATAGTCTTTAATCATATAAAATGTTGACATGTTTCTCAGTTTAAAATAATCAGTGAAATTTTATTAACAGCCATCACAGACAGTTTGAACACTAGGTCTAGAATTCCTCTCTGTATTTGTTGTGTTTCTTTTCAACTGCTGGGAAAAGTTGGAATGCAGACTACAAGTAGACAACAAAATAAAACCAAATGGCATATAGTCTCATTTTCTTTTCTTTTTTTTTAAATTTTCTTATTCAGTTTATTGATTAAGAATTGATGGAGCCAGCCCTCAGACAGCCAGACTGCTACTAAAATTCAAATGGAACCGTTAAAACTCGTCACATTTGCTAGGAGTCTACCATTCTCAGCAAAAATCCCAGTCAGGAATTATCACTTTCTTTATGGCCTAATTTTACTAATAGCAAATAGGTTTTTAAAGAGATTTGGAGCACTAGAAAAACATAATTACCTAATAGTTCTCTGTTTCTTAAATATTTTCAATCATTTCATAGATGTCTAGATACAAACTTTTATATTTTGAAGTTAAGAATTTAACTTTGGAAAGAACTTTGATGTACAAAAAATAAGCAGCTATCAACAGCTGATGAATAGGTGAAATAGTGAAATGAAATGCTTTCATAATTTGCATTAAGAAAAGCATATATAAAAATGGCTTCAGGGTGCCTGGCTAGGCCCATTGGTACAGCATTTGACTCTTGATCTCAAGGTCCTGAGTTCAAGCCCCATATTGGGAACAGAGCCTACTTAATTTAAAAAAAAAAAAAAAAAAAAGCTTCAAACTGGTAACTGTTACTCTTAATTAAAATTAATATACAGCACTTTGTTTCTATAGAATGTTAAATTAACTCAAGAAGATATTTAGCAACCTAAAGTTTAGTTTTTAAAGTTAATAGTTAAAGATTGTGAATAAACTAGAAAATCTATACTACGAACTATAAATCCTGCTTATAGCACAGATATTGTATTAACACACACATACAAAAGCTTTGCAGCCAAAATACATTATTTTTACCAATACTGTGTGGACAAACTAAACAGTGAAGGAAATTAGCATTTTAAAAATCTTCATTCGGAATAATTTCCTTGTACGCTAGGTTACTTATCCTTGTTTAAGTTTTAAAAATTATGTCTTTTAACTAGTGGAACTGAAATAAAAAATACCAGGTCTTCACTTGGTCATTAAAAATAGAGTTCTCAGGTTTTAAATCCATAAACATTTCACTAATTGTATAGGGCAATAGTTTCCAACTGCTTCATGGAGTGTTGTAGCCACTCTGAAGCCTACCATAAGTGGATATAATGCTGGGTGCTGACTGAGAGGGCTTTGATACCCCAACCTGCTTCAGCTAGAGCTCAACATCAGCATCACTTTTTTTTTTAATGTAATAGGTGTTCCCTTGTTTGCAGAAAGGATTCTGTGTTTTAAAAGCTCTGAAAGAAAGTAATCAACTACTTAAGGCCATAGCAAATTCATTTTATTTGTTCATTTTATCATTGCAGAAACTTTCAAATATCCTTTGTAAATTACTCCATTCAGAATACTAAATGGCATCCTCTTGTTGAGCTTGTACCTCTAGGTGCACTTTAAGTAATGCAAAACTACACTGACTTCTAAGAATATATAAGACACTTTTGAAGAGCACAATGTATCTTCAGCTAAGTTAGCCCTATAAATACTAAATATTATATTTTCATTTCTCAACAGGGTTGTGTTTGGGGTGTTGCTTATAGACTGCCAGTAGGAAAGGAAGAAGAAGTAAAAGCATACCTTGACTTCAGAGAGAAAGGAGGCTACAGGACCACAACAGTCATTTTTTATCCAAAAGATCCCACAACAAAACCATTCACTGTGTTGCTATATATTGGAACATGTGATAATCCTAATTATCTTGGTCCTGCACCGCTAGAAGACATTGCTGAACAAATTTTTAATGCAGCTGGTCCAAGTGGAAGAAATACAGAATATCTTTTTGAACTTGCAAATTCAATTAGGAACCTTGTGCCAGAAGATGCAGATGAGCATCTTTTCTCCTTGGAAAAATTAGTAAAGGAACGTTTAGAAGGAGAATAGAACCTCAGTTGCTTATAAAGACCTAATCAATCACTGACTTTTCCAAACAAGCAGAGCTTTTAGTCTTCAGAGAAAAGCTATAGCTTCACGTACACTGGCAATATGATTTGGAAACCTGTTTACTTGAAGGTCTTATTTATTTTTAATGTTGTAGTCAAGATATGATCAAAATGTGTGGTTTAATTTCATATATCCTGAAACATAAATATTTAAAATACTGGGATATAGTTAAAAAATTCAAGTTGTAATAATATAATCGTTTCCTAACTATATGATATTGAACACTTTCTCATAAGAAGTGAGTTCTTTAGAAAAATACAGTGAAGGACTCCGTTCAGAGCTTATTTTTATCACAGTAAAAAATAATTCTGTTGTTTCCTATCACAATACTATTTTGAAGTTGTAGAGAATTAAACCAAAGTCCAGTAAATATAATAAGGTAATACCTTCAATATATTCCTATACAATAATTGTGTAACCATGGTTTAAAATACACAAGCTTAAAATAATGTGTAATTAGAAATATATGGTAATTAGACAAGATTTCAGCCTTCATTGTGAATCTCCTTGTTCGGGTATTAAATAAGACCCTTTCCAATGTAAGTCAAAAAGACTGGCATTTTTAATATAAAAATTTCCTTGGAATTATAATGTACTCTACCTCTCCTTTTTTTAATAAATGCATTTTACTACATGGGAAAAAATTCATTCAGCTAAAAAAGGCACAAATTACATCATACAAATTGTGTCCATTAACAATGCAGCATGTCATTCAGTCACTTTGTATGAGTCTTATACTGAAACTTAAAAAAAGATGACAATTCTGGTATTATAAATTAATAGAAACATATATATGATGAAAGTCTGGTGTTTGAAATGACCTTTGGAATTGTAGTTTTTTAAAGAAGTGGCATTACCTGATCATTTGCTACAGTTTTTTTTTCCTTCTGTCTTGTCAGCAAAACAAAGGTATCCACTTACGAATACTGCTGATGCTACTCAAATAGGAAAGTTACACGTGCATTATTAACTCATGTAAAATTGATCTTGATTCTAATCAAGATAATTTCTGATTATAGCTCCTTCTTCCTCAATAAGACAATCTCTAAAATCTTTTAACATAAAAAGAATTTCAGTATCACATTAAATTTATTATGAAATTTAATAAAAACTCTTCAAATCCCAGCATAACTAATAATACAGAAAATTTTCACATTAAACAAAGTTGTCCTACACAGTGGAAAAAGTAGTCCTTTCCATGTTTTTCTTACTTATTAACACTTAACTTGGTAATTTACTCAGCTACGTAACTATTTTATTTTATTTTTTTTAAAGATTTTATTTATTTGTCAGAGAGACAAATTGCTCCCTGCCGAGCAAGGAGCCTGATGCGGATGCAGGACTCAATCCCAAGACCCCGGGATCATGACCCCAGCTGAAGCATCCCTACCTATTTTAAATAATGTCCCAACATTTTCAGTATTAGTTTTCCAGAAGGCATTTCACTTGTCCAATAAAACAAGAAAAGAAGCTAGCATTCATTAATGAGTATCTCATAACAATATGCTAGGCATTTTACATATGTAAGCATTTTCTGGCTAACTCCCTGAGCTTGTTTCCATAGTACCTTGCACAGTTACACACATATGTTAAGTAGCAGAAACCCAGGTCTTTCTCACTCTAAAACACAAGATCGTTCTACAGTATATTTAAAAACCCACCTGAACTTCACCATCTTCACTATCCACCATCTTTTTTCCAGGAGGTAAACAAAATTAACTTTTGCATAAGGAAATAGTATGTAGCTTGTTACATAAAGATGTTAGAGTTAATTTTGATAGCTGTATATTGATTCCCACAAATATAATGAGCCAATCCAAGATTCACATTCTATAGCTCAGAATCATGTAGGTGAATTCAGAAATACAGCCTTTCATTTTACAAACAAACCTAAGTCCAAAGGAGATTGGAATTCCCCAAAGTGATTCTTTTATCATTTAATATATAATTGCTACAAAATATAAAGGGCAAGAGATAACTCTGGGATCCCCATTTATATGTCTTTCTAGGCTTTCAGTTACAATTAGACTAGAAAAATGTGACCTATCACATATGGTGTACCATAAACATTTATATGGAAGCCATATTCCAAAGCCCAGAAACAGGGATATTCACTGGAATGGGGAGAAACAGGACTAAAATGGAAAAGTTAAACAGTACTTTATTAGAGAGAAGCTAGGGTTTGAAGCCTCCCAGCTAGAAGGAATCATAACAGATACCAAGTTACCTAGATCCTATCAGCAAAACTGTCTCTCTCTACAGTCCCTGGATCTCACTTTGAAAGCATCTTTTCTCATTCCTCCCTAATCACACAAACAAAACTCAAGACTCATTCCTAGAGTACAATTACTAGTTAAGTTTCAAGTCTCAGGAATTCAGAGAAAGTATGAGTGTAAACCCTGCATTGAGAAAAGAAGCTTTTTTTTTTTTTTAGGATTTATTTATTTATTTATTTGACAGACAGAGATCACAAGTAGGCAGAGAGGCAGGCAGAGAGAGAGAGAGGAAGCAGGCTCCCTGCTGAGCAGAGAGCCCGATGTGGGGCTCAATCCCAGGACCCTGAGATCATGACCTGAGCCGAAGGCAGAGGCTTTAACCCACTGAGCCACCCAGGCGCCCCGAGAAAAGAAACTTTTAATATAGATCTCTAATGAAGTGGGTTTTTTTTTTAAAGTAGGTCTTTACACTCCTACTGCAGGCCACTATTACGTTTCCCTTTCCCACTTCCAGGAAAACATAGTCACTTTTTGATCTACCACAAACATTAAGTACCATCTAGATACAGCCTCCATACATAAAAGGTTTCCAGTTAGGGAGACAAAGGTCTGTGGTGTCAACTCCAAATATCTTAAAGAATGAACGTGACTCATTTCTTTAAGACGGAGTTAAAAAATTTAGCCATTGTCTATAGGATATGCATTTCATCTTAAAAAGGATTTTTTTTCATTTTCTACTAATAAAGAACCTGAAATGTGTATTATTTTACATCTTGAAGGTGCTTGTTTAATTTTAACATATGTAAAGCATTATGGAACACCTGATATAATAAAAACTATTACCTAGTATTAGTTTACATTATATATTCAAAGTACATGTGTTTAGCATCTCTTTGAGATTCATAATGATTACAATCATGCCTGTAATTTAAGAACCATATTTGGTCTATTATAAATTTTCAAAAATTTTATAGTCAACATTTCGTTCCATTATATTAGTTTTCTCTTTTCCACGGACACATAGCTTTTAAATTATAACTTTAGAACCGTTGTGACTATCAATGCATTATACTCCTATAATTTATCATCCCTGATTCTTTCAAAGTCAGTCAAATGATGGATACACTTAAAATTCTCTCTCATCACATCCTGTTAAAATCTACATACCAAATATTCCAATTATGCTATCTTTTCTCACCAAAGATACTGTGACTATATTTTCTATGTATTTATTCAGCTCTCAACAATCTGTTTTTATGCGTTTCTAAAGACTTAAAATAAATTCACCCTAAGCATATATTAGAAACTCAAAGATTAGTGGGATGATTTTTTTTAATCCTGTGGCTACTTTTCAAAGAATTTTAACTTCTCAAGAGACAACTACTAAAATTATTCTCCTGCATGTCAAAATTATATGATGAAAATAAGCTTTATTGAATCTCCGGGTTTTTTCATTCTTCTTAAGGTTCATTTTCCCTTCTAAAACATTATATATTCAGCACTAATCTCTTGGTGGTTTCATTTAATCATACTAAGCCTTCTTGTCTTTATAAAAAGTTTGACAACAAATAAACATATATTCTGTAACTGGAAAAACCACCACTTACCCCTGTAATTTCTTTTATTCTTCCTACTTTACTATCCTTCACAAATTTTTTTTTTTTTGGACAGAAAGTTGGATTTATTTGTCGACATGAATATGATGGGAAGGGGCAGTGCCAAGATTCTCATGAGTGCAGAGCCCTCCATTTGTCCAAGGGACCATGGTTAGGGATGTATTTGACCCCACAGCCATCTGGGATAAGCCGCTTTTCAGCCATCATGTCTTCAAATTCATCCGCATTGAACTTAGTAAAGCCCCACTTCTTGGAGATGTGGATCTTCTGGCGGCCAGGGAACTTGAACTTGGCCCTGCGTAGGGCCTCAATCACATGCTCCTTGTTCTGCAGCTTGGTATGGATGGACATGATGACTTGGCCAATGTGGACCCTGGCTACTGTGCCCTGGGGCTTTCCAAAGGCCCCCCGCATACCTGTCTGCAGCCTAAATTGGAGATAGCCATGAGGTCAGACCCCAGCATCCACCAAAAAGGGCTGTCTCCAAGGTCCCTTAGGGCAACCCATACAATCAACAGGTTGCATACACTACCGAGGAGGCTACTGTTTGCAGCCATGGCACACTGGGCCCCCAAAGACAAAAAGCACAGTCAGCTTAATTGGCTGCAGTCCTTCACAGAATTTTTTAACTACAATGTTCTATTTCCCTATCAGCTCCTCTTAATGCCCCTCCAATCTACCTTTGCTCTTGCTGTACTCAAGGAGTCAGTGTAGTCTTCAGTCACCAATGACTCTTTCCTGATTTAACCCAAAGATCTCCGTTTCATCCTTTACAATTCTGATACATCAGACATTAGTAAGCAAGAATCTCATTTCACTAAGTCCAAAAGAGTAGAACATTTTGTTGTATTTACTTACATCTTAGATTTTTTAATCAGATACACAAACTCACCAAGTCCTAGGTTTCAATCACCATCTTTTTTTTTTTTTATAAACACATAATGTATTTTTATCCCCAGGGGTACAGGTCTGTGAATCACCAGGTTTACACACTTCACAGCACTCACCATAGCACCTACCCTCCCCAATGTCCATAACCCCACCCCCCTCTCCCAACCCCCCTCCCCCCAGCAACCCTCAGTTTGTTTTGTGAGATTAAGAATCACTTTTCAATCACCATCTTTACTGAGAAAACTTCCAACCTTTCTCAAATTCTTTATGACTCTATGTCTTATATGTAAGGTATCTCATATACCTTATTGAGCTACACAAGCACCTGAAACTTAGCATACTAAAAACAGAATTTATCTCTTTTCCCAAGAAGAAAACTTTATCCCACATTACCTCCCCACACATAACACACATTAAATGTTGAACAATTACTTGAACAGAAAATACAACAAACAGGTTTAAGATACTGATCAATTAACAAGATTCTAGAGAAAATGAATGATTTTTTTTTTTTTAAGATTTTATTTATTTAGGGGCGCCTGGGTGGCTCAGTGGGTTAAGCTGCTGCCTTCGGCTCAGGTCATGATCTCAGGGTCCTGGGATCGAGTCCCGCATCGGGCTCTCTGCTCAGCAGGGAGCCTGCTTCCCTCTCTCTCTCTCTCTCTGCCTGCCTCTCTGTCTACTTGTGATCTCTCTCTGTCAAATAAATAAATAAAATCTTTAAAAAAAAAAAAGATTTTATTTATTTATTTGACAGAGAGAGATCGCAAGTAGGCAGAGAGGCAGGCAGAGAGATAGAGGGGGAAGCAGGGTCCCTGCTAAGCAGAGAACCCGATGCCGGGGCTTGATCCCAGGACCCTGGGATCACAACCAGAGCCGAAGGCAGAGGCTTTAACCCACTAAGCCACCCAGGTACCCCGAAAATGAATGATATTTTCCCAACATACAAAATTTTAGCCTTTATTTTACTTAAAACTTTATATAACATTTCTTAATAAGTCAAAGAACAGTTAGCAGGGAAAAGCTGGAGCCTATCTTTGATG